AATTTAGTAATTGACAAAAAATAAAACCAGAATAAGACTTTAAAATCAAAAAGTTATTTCATGTCAATTCTGTTTTACAATAAAAAAAACCTTCATCGTTTAATTGACAATTATTTTACACAACTGTCCTTTTTACTTTAAAAGTCTCTCTCTTTTTGCCTGCCAATTATCATTAATTGAACGTTAAAGTTTTCCCTTGTTGCTACTAGTAACACAATCCTATATGTGAGGATATTTTTAGAATTTTCACAAATAAATGTCAATTCACAACTATAGCAACAAACTGTATCGATGTAAAGGAATTCACACAAATTAATTTTCAATTGATTTTTTTAACGTTTGACATTATAATATTTTAGCCGTTGCTACTAGTAATAGAAAATTTATCCCCTATAATCCTATTCTACCCACCCAAAAAGTTCTATTGTTATCGACATCATTGAGAAATGTTTGACATACAAATTCATTAGCATTGAAAATCCCAACTGGACATGTCACACCACAAATATAAAATAAATAAAATAAATTTGCGGGGGTAGATGAAAATTGTCGTAAATGACATCAATCATTTGGTCATTTTTTGTAGCTGTTTATTGCCTTGCGCCTATGACTGTATCATTATTACAGCTTTTCCTATCTTTGTTGATGTTTCTTTCGGAGCAAGTGCTTGAAAAAATAAAAAATGATCGAGCATTTCAGCTTCTTCTTTCGTCCCATCTTTCTTCTCATTCAGCATTCTTTGCACATGTGACCTCGTTGAATTATTTGAAACTAGCAAGCATAAAAGACGAGAATTTTTTCTTATTCATTGATGATGGCTCCGTGTAGAGGGATATAAAAAATTGAGACGAGTAAGGAATGCTTATAGAAGCGGATGACTCATTTTTGGAATTTCGACTTATAAGTCATGAATTTCTTGGAAATATTTGGTGATGTTGACGGAAAATATCTATGTTAACGAGGAAATTCTACTCATAGTTGTTTGAAAGTAGATTAAATATTATATAAATTTGTCGACGTTAGGAGTCGTTTTCAAATTAAGTCACGCAAAAAAAAACTTTTTTGTTTGAATTGCCACAAATTTTTCTAAACTCTATGGGGTCGTTCACTTATTACATAACTTTTTTAAAGAAGGGGGAGAGGGTCTTAAATTTTGTGAAAATTGAAATAAAAGAATTTTTTTTCCACTCAAAATTTGTGACAGAGGGGGGAGGGGGGTTTAAAAACTCAGTTTGTGGCGTTACATAATAAGCAAACGGTTCTTAATGGGTGACACAATTTTCAAAACTACCGTTTACTGTCTAGTCATCAAATCACAAAAATCGTATAACTTAATAGTGACTAATTAGACCTGTAACAAAATCTCAGACCAACCCTTTTGAAATGACAGGATTCGACTTTCAAGTTCAAAGCAAACCTTTATCCAAATAGAACAACTGGCATCTAGACTGCAGCATTGAATCTAATTTTTGCCACAGAAATAGCAACCAATGTAAATATTAGCCTAAAAACTTTTATAATCCGTCTAGCATCACGCCTACAGCATACAATCTAAAAAAATTCCGCGAGAATAAAGCACGAATGAATGCAACTGAGATAAATCATCTAATTCCGACACATTTTCCATATAAAAATGCTCGGAAAAGCTCAATTGATAGCAGCATATAACATGCAATATTAATATATGAATATTTTTGAATTTGAAAAATAAACTCACATATATATCATGTAGAGAATACAAACGGAATGAAAAAGAACAACGAAAATTTGTGACAATATTTTGATAATCGATTTTCTCACATATACGAAGCATTCATTCATTCCTGTGTCCCTAGAAAATAAACATGGCATAGCCAAAAAAAAAATGTATGAGCAGCCACGATGGTGTTGGCACATCCAATTGTCTCGTATGCATCGAAATTTAATATTTTATAAAGAAAAAAATAATATTTTTCGAGGCATTTTTTTGCCCTTGATTGCTTGCTTTTTTGACATCCTATATTATTCCTATGTCCCTGCTCGCTCTGAATTTTTTACGGTTGAATTTGCGAAACAAGGAAAATAAATTTTTGTGAGAAAATGTTTACCACAAAATGGCACATAACTTTGACATTAACATGTGTTGAAACTTATCCATTATCAATAGATATTTTATTGACATGTGAGGACGATTGATTTGAGCTCTCGTATGTTTTTGTTTTGCATATCTTTTCGGTTATTTTAGACCAATCACTTTTTTCTATTTGGGATTTGTTTGGAAATCAACCTAACGAACCGAATCTTTTTGCAGATGTACAGTGTTTTTCTGCTTAAAAATTAATTTCCTAATTTTCCACAGAGTTTGCCTTAATCCAATTTGACATTAAACTTTAAACCAGCATTTTGCGGCATGTAATTTCCTCAACAGTGTGAAGCGAAACAACAAACTTTTCCACTTTCTTCATTTAACTGAAAGAGTTGTTCACAGATTGTGTCCATCATTAGTGGGGATGCGGGTTTATAGCTTGCTGACACTCTAAACAAAATAGCAATTTTATTATATATTTTGATACTAATAGCGAGTTATAGAGACGAAGTAAGAGAGTCGGACACCTTATCAAGCATTTTTTTCTTTACTCCTCTAAGTAAGGTCAGGAATTAATTCATAACCTCTTTCCCGTAGACTAGAAAATTTAGGAAAACTCCACGAATCGTGTACGGTTTCGGTCATGGCTTACCACCAAAGTAGCACATAATAGGTTTAAAACTACTGCCTAAGACAGATCTCAAAATTAAACCCCAAAATAACTTACGAACTGATTATTTGTCTACAAGACGTCATACATGCACATTCCCCACAACACAATTAAAAACTTTTAAAATAGAAAGTGAAAAGCTTGTAGACAAAACATAAAATAATTGAAAGAAGAGGATGAGATGATAATTGAATGAGACATAACATTCAGTATTTTGAAAATTTGTTTCGTGTTTCGAACGACCTTAAATTAATGTTTAATGATATTTAAGCCTTCAGAAATGAAGTTTTAATGAAAATGAGGAAATTTATAGATCCGAAGTCATTTTCAATGATGATTGTTGGAGGTTGATTGCTTTATGGCTTTGGTATTGACAGACAGTGATGGTTGCATGAGATAGAATCTTATAAAAAGATGTGTAAGTTGAGACTAGTGACTGGAGAGGCAAAGGTAGAGCAACCAAAAATATAAGCTTTTATAAAATGAAAACAGCATAAAAGTCATTCAAAACGTTTTAAAATGTACAATTTTTATGTTGATAAAAGCCATGAATCAAGCTCTCGAGGAATGTCAATCGCGTGCTATTAAATGACCTTTATCTAGTTTCCATGCTCCGATTAAAATATCTTAATTGATCTTAATCTGCATGTATCAAGCTTCTTTGACCTTTGTTCCGGATTACCTTTATTATCTCTAGAACACTTCTTTCTTTCCTCTCAAGTATGATTAAACCATTGACACACTCTAGTCATAATATAAAGTTCCACTTACTTGTATCCTCTTTAATCTCAGATAATTGAATTTCATTTCTTCTCTTTTTAATCTCTAAAATTGAAATTAAAAACTCTTCAGAAAATTGCCATTACTTAGAAAATCAGAATCTAGGATTCAGCTCTTTTAGCGCTGTAGAAATACATTTTAGATACGTGACACTTTTAAGAAAGAAGACGTGGGATAAATGAAGAAAAAATAAAAAATAAAAAAAGATGCTAAAGTGAATGAAATAAAATATTTCGCTCGATTGGATATCTGACAATAATATTGCTAGACATTCGAGAAAAGATTTTAAGTATCAAAAGTTAAAGTCTTTGAAAGAATTGTCATGAAATGTTTGAAGTGGGAATTTTTTACCTTAAGTTTTTATGGATTATTATTTTATTTTCTTGTGGGTAGAATCATTGAACTCGAATGGAATTGATGAAAATAAATGATTAGGTGGAAGATTTACTTTTATTTATAAATGACTGATCATAACTCTCACCACATTGTAAAGGTGTTTGTTCCTTACACTTTGAAGTGGAATTGATTTTGCTAATAAAAGCTGTAAATTTCACCAAATTTTATGAGATACTACAACCTGTGCCATTTAATGTAAGCTATTCATTGAGTCATGGATAGCATACTGGTATCTAGTTTAAGTTATGTATGAAAAAGAAAATATCCAGAACTCCCCTCTCCCTAAACTACCTCTTCATAAAATTTCCTCCCACCATTTCCTGATTTCCTCATGACTTAACCTCAAACTGCTAAAAATATCCTCAAAAACTAATAATCTCATCAAAATTTAATATCATACCTGAACACACCATTAAAATTACCCACGATCCTCTTTAAATTCATCTCATTTTAAAGCTGTCTGTCGCTGTCATAATATGACATCATAAACAGCAATAAATCGATCCATGATGTGGATGATTATGAACATTTCTCGACTATAATATTTATTCATACCAAATTTCAACGAAATAATTTCTCTCACCACAAAAAGCGAGAGGACATTTATTATGATTGAATACTGAACAGCCTTTAACTTTATTCCTCATAAAATATTTTTAACATGTTTTTTTACGATATTATGAACATTTTGGAAGGGTTTAATTTAAAGTTTTCAAGTCAAACTTTATTTTCAAAATCATACATCGAGATTCAGGAAGGACGTGATTAAATCAAATGAGAAAAGCTCTAATAACATTGTTAATAATTATCATCCTTGCTAAAATCTTAAAAGCGGGTTAAACAGACAATAAATTTAATTCCATTTAAAACTGCGCCTGATCCATTTACCTGTGTTGACTTTTCAACATTTTTTCGTTATTTATATTCTTCACCAACATAACCGTAATTGCATCCGTCGCCATTCACCCCCATTTAGGAGTGATGATGTAAAAATATTTATTAAAATTTTAACACCATCCACTTCCTCTCTCTGTTTTTATGAATATTATTTATATCCACTTTTTTCTCTCTACTATGTTTCATTTATAGGTCTGGTTAAGCTGGGCGTTCAGTGTGTATCTGGCAAAAAGGTTGCAATCAAAATAATTAATAGAGAAAAATTGAGTGAATCTGTGCTGATAAAGGTAAGTTGAAATACTTTTGCATTATTTCTACAGGAATTTTTATTGCTGAACGTGGAGTTGTATTTTCGACTTTTTATTTTCTCTTGTGCCATTTCCCGAACAGACAAAGAGCATGCTCTCACTGAGTATGCTCACTTAAATGTACTGACTGAGTTAACTCGTGAGCATACTCAGCTAGTATATTTTAGTGAGCATACTCATTGAGAGCATAATCTTTGTTTGTTAGGGTTTGTGGATTAATTTGTGTGGCATAAGGTGATTTTTGTTTTTAATTAATTGAAATTAATTGTTCCTGTGAGAAATGTTTGTTTTAAATTTGTTATGTCTTTTTTTGAGCAAGTTTCATTGAATTTCGGTTCATAAGTAGAGAAGACATAATTTGAAAAAAAATTAAGGATAAACTGTTGGTCCAAAATTCAATCTATGGTTAAAATGAGTTAAATATAGTTTAAATAGTTTAGTTTTTAAATTGAAAGCTTGTTTCTAGGAATAACCAGGGCAGACCTAAACTAGCAATTAGAAAAAAATTTGCTACAGTTTTTGAATGCAAAACATTTTGTTTTATTCAATTAGATCGAGTCTTGCGTCCATAGCTACTCTGTCAAACTACTTTAATTCTAATCTTCAGCGTCAACGAAAGAAGATTGTGTAAAATTTTGACAAATGAGTGTAAAATCGTTATCAAATCATTAGAATCTTATTTTACAACCATTGTCACACCCGTAAGCATCGATCTTATGCCACTCATAAATCCTACTGACTAATAAATTTCTGATAAAAACAATACCGTAATCATAATGTCATGTCATGCCAATAATTTAACTCTTCCTGTTTTATTTTGTTTTGTAGGTTGAGAGAGAAATAGCAATTATGAAGCTAATTGATCATCCACACGTACTCGGCCTGTCAGATGTGTATGAGAACAAGAAATACTTGTAAGTAGGCAAAACGTCAAAACTTTTACTTTTTGAGATGTTAAACACAAATTCATGCATAAATAAATCCATAGTGGAAATTTGTGGCTATTGATTGGATGAGATTTTGTTAAGGTGGAAATTTCGATGAATTTTTTATTTAAAGGTTGATTGGATGTTTTGTAATGCTTAGATTAGGATCTTATCTTTTCTTATTTTGTAAGGATTAAGAATCTAGATCGTTACATTTAGAGCATTATTCGCTGTTACACGAAACAGTTTGGGTTACAAAACATTCAAAAGACCCTTCAGAAGTATGCAGTTCAAAATTTCCATCTTATATCCATTCAATCTGGATAACAGAAAACAAGCATACTAAAAATAAATTTTGCATGACATTCCACTTTTCTTCCTTTATCATTTCCCACATTTTATAGATATTTAGTGCTGGAGCATGTATCAGGAGGTGAATTGTTCGATTATCTAGTAAAAAAGGGTCGACTTACACCAAAAGAAGCTCGACGATTCTTCCGACAAATAATATCTGCTCTAGATTTCTGCCATTCACATTCAATATGCCATCGTGATTTGAAGGTTTGACTTTAAGATTGAAATATTGAAAAATGAAAATAAAAAAATGTTTATAACATGAAAATTGGCTTATCTGATTTTTTTTGTTCCACTTTATTCTTATGCAGCCGGAGAATCTCTTATTGGATGATAAAAATAATATAAAGGTACGTCCTAAGTTATGTAATAAAAGTGAGAAAAATGTTTATGATGAAAATGACATAAATTGAAGGTCAAGAAAAAATTCCTTCTTGTTCAGTCTTTTGATTTAAGATTGAATGTAGAACATGCTGTGTACACAGATGTCGATACGAGAAATAAATTTCCTTCTTTCTTTATTGCTTTAAGCAAACAACATATTGGAAAATGTGTAATCTATTGAAGGAGAAAGCGAGCTTTGTAGAAGAATGATTCAAAATTGTTCATCTAGTCTCAATAAAAGGCTCAATTTCTGAATGGATTTTTGAATAATATTTTTTATTTGACATTTAATGGATTTACGAAAGAATTGCAAAACTTTTTTTTTTGTGGATGTGACATTGAGGTCTATGAAGCTTAACGTTTTACACGTGCAGGCAGATTTTTTTTTCCAACAGTTTGGTGATGTTCTGTGATTTTAGTCGAATAGTTTGGTTATGAAAGGGGTGTCAATTGAATTTTAAAAAGTTTGGGGCAAACTCAAAGTTTTGAACATTCTTTTTGTAAGCTTCTTCATTGAATCTAAATGTTAGCATCAAAACCATATCTTGAAGAAGGGGAGGGAGTCATAACCTCAATTTCCAATTTGATCAGTTTCCATCACAAATTCACAAACTACCACACTTGCTAAAAATATATCTTGTAAACCTTCACATCCTACAATTTTTTTCAATTTATTTTTAACAAAAAATGTTATTTTATGGGTTTCACACCCGCACTGGGAAAATTATTTTACATTAAATCGTTGATAATTTTGAACCCAAAAACAACCTTATTCAACAATGTAGACTCATACCACACATATTCCTCAATTTCAGTAAACAAACAGCAACTTTCATCCACAACACCACCTTCAAAAATTATCATTAATCAAAGTCAATATTACTAAGCACTCGAGACTTTTTTTGTGTAACATTTTGTTTCATTTTATGTTATACAATACCAGCCAGTGTCTATTTTTGTTTGAGTGGAAATTATTTACCATAAAAAAATTTGAAATATGAATAAGTTTATTGTTTTATGAATAAAAGACATGATTAGATCTTAATTTTGTAGCTTATAGCTTCGTATCCTTCATGATGACGTTCATATTCAAGGATAAGATGGTTCTTAAATTACAACTTATTAAAACTTGATGAAAAATATAATCGAAATGTAATATAAAATTATAATTGATATGTTTTGATGAATTGATCTCGAAATAAATTGTTGAATAAATCCAGACAACGAAAATCCACTAACTCTTGACCCCACTTATGCTACACTTTCATCATAAATTCAAGACTCATACCCAAAATTCGATATTAATCCATTATGAATTAAACTACTTGAACTTTAATGTCTTCGCTATTATTTTTCTCTTCTCCTTCCCGCTTTAGATTGCCGATTTTGGTATGGCCTCACTACAGCCAGCAGGATATATGTTGGAAACATCATGCGGTTCACCACATTACGCTTGTCCTGAAGTTATTCGTGTATGTAGCATGCATGTACATGTATTCAATTTAATTTCTCTTTGTGGATAATTTCTTATGTTCATTGTTGTGAAGACAAAAGTATGGAGTGACTTTATGTTTTTGGGATGGATATGGATAGAGCGTATTTTTGGATGTGCTTTTGACTTTCAATATTTTGGATTTTTGTTTCTTTGAAACATATAGGGATGCAAATTATTGTTTTAGCTGATGGGATTCGAGCCCACTCTTTTATAGAAAATGATCTTTAAAATCTGTTCAGCCATAAATTCACCTTATCCAATTTGACAATTATCTTAACATACGCTAGCTACAACAATCCTTTCAAGTTCCAGTTACAATGTTATTCAGAACTCAGGTGTCCAGGCTACAAAACATGTCATTCCAAAATAACAAGCAAAAAATATTTTATGTCCAGTCTTCCGTTTCCATTTCCTTCTGCAACTACTACAACTTCTATGATACATGAAAAGGAGAATAATAATGATAATAACAATAATTTATATAAAATTTAATTTGAAATTGTCTTCTATTCTCGTTCCAATGACATTTGTAGGGTGAGAAATACGATGGCAGACGTGCAGACGTATGGTCTTGTGGCGTGATTCTATATGCCTTATTAGTTGGTGCTTTACCATTCGATGACGATAACCTAAGACAACTCCTTGAAAAAGTAAAACGAGGTGTCTTTCATATACCCCACTTTGTTCCGCCAGACTGCCAAAACTTACTACGTGGAATGATTGAAGTTAATCCCGAGAAACGATTAACGGTAAAAAAACAGTAATTGAATATGTCTGGAAAAAATTAATTAATTTATTTTTTAATTTTAGTTATCGGAAATAAATCGACATCCATGGGTAACGGCAGGCGGCAAAAGTGAATTAGAACTTGAATTGCCAATGATGGAAGTCGTCCAAACCCATGTGATTCCTACTATATCTGCCGTCGACACCGACATTCTCAATTCAATTTGCTCACTTGGATGCTTCAAGGATCGTGAGAAATTGATACAAGAATTACTAAGTTCGCAGTAAGTGATTTATGGAAATTAAATCAATGTCATTGGGAAAAAGAAAATTAGCATAAAAATCAATTCCTTGCTTCTTACAACCTTCTTCTTTCATATTTCAGTCACAATACGGAAAAAGTTATTTACTTTCTTCTTTTGGATCGTAAACGACGACGTCCCGCACTTGAAGATGACGACGAAAGTCGAAAAAGTGATGTAATTGAAGTGATAGATCCGCCAAGAAAGCGATTAGACACGTGCAGGATAAATGGATCGAGCAGTCTATCTTATGGTCAAATCAGTGAGGGATCACCCTTAACACCACGTAGATCTACATTCAAGTGAGTATAGTAGCAAAGATAGTCTTATCTATAAATTCAAAAATAGGCAAATTTCTACAATATTTTCCAGCAATGGCAAGAGCTATACTCGCCGTTCACCGTCGTCTGCTCCAAGTACGCGTTCATCGACATCATCATCATCATATCATCAAAGTCCAACACGTGGATTATCTATTAACTCTAATCAAGGTATTAATAACGAAAATTTTTTTATTATCGATGCCACAAAATGAAGGAAATGAGATATCATCAACCCTTGATATATCCATTAATAACACTTGAGATAATATTATTAATGAATATTTTATTTATTTTTAGCTATATTACGTCCTTCATCACCCGCTTCTGCTACATCATCACCATCACGACATTCATCATATACAAGTCGTCCAAAAACACAAATTACTGATCATTCCAACATAACTTCATCATCAGCTGCTGCTCATGTGGCAAATAATAATAATAATCTGTCCATTACGTCACAATCGTGCACACAATCGCCGGTACATCATCGTGCCAATTCAGGTCCAACGATTGTCGCGAATCTTTTCCCTGAGAGTGATCAAATGACACAATCAGCCATTGTACAGCCTGCATCACCGCATTTAGGTGTACCAAATAATTCATCAACCGGAAGTCCCAATACTGGTGGTCAATTATGGAAAACGCGTTTAACGAATATTAAAAATAGTTTTCTCGGTAGTCCGAGATTTCATAGGAGAAAAATGCAAAGTAAGGACCTTATATGAATATCCTAGGGTGTTTGAGAGTACGATAGACTAACTATGTACTCTAATTATGCATCTTAATTAAGAACTGATTCCTGTAAACATAATTTTGTGTTCTATGACTAAGATTTCCATTTTTATAATTTCAGTATCAACTGAGGAAGTTAGCATGACACCGGAATCGTCACCTGAGTTGACAAAAAAATCATGGTTTGGAAATTTAATAGCAACAGAGAAAGATGAGACGTTTACAATTTTGGTGAAAGGCAAGCCATTGTCAACAGTGAAAGCACATCTCATTCATGCATTTCTTTCGGTAATGAAACACTATTAACTTTTATCTGAATATATCTTGGAGGATTAATATTATCCACTGCATAATGAGCAGCAGAATGAACAAATACATCAGCGCTTATCATTCCCATTATAATTATCTAACCTGTTTATCTTTCATTTATTTTAGATGACAGAATTATCGCATAGCGTAATATCCCCAATGTCATTTAGACTTGAATATAAACGTGGAAGTACAGGTCCAACTATGTTTCAGCGTTATGTACGCATTCAAGTTGATATAAACCCCATCTGTAAACAGGGCGATGTTGCCGATTTGTTATTTGCTATTACTTTTACATTGTTATCAGGTATGTGTTGTTGACCGATGCATTAAGTTCATTGCAGGAACTGATTTGCAATATTTTCAGGCAATATTCGTCGATTCCGTCGAATATGTGAACACATACAAGCGCAAGTGTGCTCTAAACGTTATCCATCATCGAATAATCCTCAAGCTCAAAAGCCTGTAATCGTGACACCGCAATCATCACAATCACAGCAGAATACATCACCTCAACCAATGTGCACCTCCTCAAATTCAGCAGCCGCATCAGCTGAGAGTATTTCTTGTGGCTCAGCTGACTCCAGTGATCGTCTAAGTTATCGTGAGCGGCAGAATGACACGGAGAGTGAAGTTGAGACATTCTTTGATTGCAATACAACAATTACTAAACCACGACGCTCATCAGCATCCTCAAATAAGTCAAAAAATAGTGACGATGGGTCATCACCTTGTACGCCATCGATTAAATCCGTTAGCTCAAGATAATTAATTATGCTCGCCCTAATTTCGTAAAAAAATTAATTGAAATGATGATGAAAAATTGTTTATTGAAATGAAAAATGTTGCATTGGGAAGGAATGGCGTTTGGGTTTGTAAGATTTGGCTGATTTGGATTTTCAAAATAAAGTTTGGACTGGATGTGTTTATAATGCTACGGAGCGTAGCAAATAAGTTTTTTTTAAGATGCGAACTTTGAGTCTGATTATCCAAATTCATAAGATTAAGAACTCTAATTTCTTATTTTGAAAGTCAAACCTTGAACGAAGCCAATATGAAGCGTGGAATTTTTTAAGATACAATAGTAGCTTTTTGCATCAAGTACGAGAGTGTTAAGCACTGATTTATTGAAGTGAAAATTCATTTTGAGCATTTTTGCTAAGATTTTTATAGAAAAAAAATTAAATTTCAATAATATTCAGCCCAATCTTCCAAATCTCACCGCTAGCTCCCAACACACATGGTGAAAAATTACCTTTCTACACCAAAAAAACAATAATACTAATAATTATAACTTAAATTAATCTATTAATTAATTAATTAAAATTGATTATGATGATGCTGATATGAATAATTAATGAGACGTTAATGAGGACGAAGGCGTTTGTTTTTAATCTAAAGAAATATGCGCGCGCGATATGATTGCACTATTAAGAGAAATGAAAGCACACAAAAAAGCTAATAGTAATATAAGGCTATTCTATAAAAAAAAATTAAAAAATGTAAAAAAAATCGCAAGAGTGTAATTAAAAAATTAATTATAGTTCTATTCTAATTCTTCTTCTTTATGATTATTGTTGTTGCTGTTAGTGTTATTACTGTCTTTAATGGCTTTATTTCATTAAGATGATTTTCTCATCTCACTTTGTGAGGTTCAGATGCTTACAAGGTTTCGAAGAATATTGAAACATAATTGGGAAAATATTTTACAAATCCAGTCACACCCCTTAAGCCACAAATCCACGATATTAACAGCAAATCAATTGGATTTATTATGAAATGTGCATTTCCAGTTTTTCATTAAAATTTATACTGAAAACTAATTAACAATCATAAATTTTTGATTGCAATAAATTCGAAATGTTTCCAGAATGCATGATTTATTGAAGAATATGATTGGCATTTGCCAATTATTGACGTGTTCAATATTTAATATAAAAATTACCACCTAATTGTGGTTTTAAAAAGCAATTTTTGTGCATTTACATGCGATTGGATGGAATATTTTTAACATGCTGTCGCATGTGAATTCAAATAAAAAACCGCATGATTTATCGCATGCTCTGAATAATGCGGTTGAGACTATTGCCATAAAATTCTCTCAAGTTTTTTGAAGGTCATAGACAGTAATATCAATAAGAAATATTAACAATGATTAAATTGATAAGATTTTGTACACATTGTTGTGACTGCGAGCGCTTATTGAATTTTTGTCCTAATCTTTATGAATCCGCTGATTTATTTATCCTGTTTTTATTTATTTTTTTTCTCTCTATTTTGTACATTCAATGTTTATGTCTTCTTAGTATATTAAATTAAAATTATTGTAGTTTTTGAGGGGTGGGAGGGGGAAATTACCTTATGTCCTTGTTAATCGATGTGAAGATTATTAGAATTCTCTTCATGAGACGATTATGATTGGTTTTAAAACCAAATCACAGTGAAAAAGTTCAATAATTTCATGAATTGAATGTGATTATTCAGGGGAATGTTTCACATAAACTAAGCTTTGTCACATTACTGTGAAAAATTTCAGAACCTCAATTTTAGTCATTATGGAACCTAGGTTATAACTTCTCGAAAGGCTACTTATTGTCTTCATCGTAATGCATAGCAATTGATTTAAATTCATGATGGCAAAAGTTTCTAAGCTGGATTCGAACCCAATTCATTCGACTTCTAGTGAATTACTCCTTACACTGAGCTATCGAAGTTCTCTCGATTATAATGATACTTAATGACATGTATGCATGCATATTATTGTATCGATTTCGAGTCACATTTGTTCACTATGAAGTTTGAAAAAACTAATATGGATGCTGAGGTGATTTACAATCCATTGCCCCCCAACCCCTTTATTTTGATAGTTAATTATTTTTGTTGGAATCTTTAAGATGAGAAATAGAAAAGAGGAGAATGGAAAATTAACGATAATTACAGTGATATACCTCTGTCTCTATCTTTCGATATATATATTTCACTATTTGATACATTCTATCATTGTAAATGATTATTTTCCTTGGTTTTTCTATCTCATTTTCTCTCTCCTTAGCTTGATAGTATTTATAAAATTAAAGAAAAAAAATGGTATTGATGAGGATTTTAAGGAATCAACTGTTTCATATTTTGTATGTTGTCGCTTCAATTTTTGAGATAAAAAAAATCATTAAAATGATAAGAAAAATTTTGAAAAAAATAAGGAGAAAGTTGTAGAATTTTTTTTTGAAGATTTAACAGACGTGATGAGATAAATTAATCTGTGACAAAAGTGACAAAACTTGCATTCACCTAAAATTAAATTCTACCATTTTTGAATTTGAAGCTTTTAATGAGAAATTTTGAATGAATTATGATAAATTGTTTGGATGAAGTCACTAGGTTAAAATTTTGCAACTGCTTGAAATTCATCAGAAATTTTGGAGCATCCTGAAAATCTTCAAATTCTCATTAAAAGCTCTCGAATTCAGGAAAAAACTTCAGCTTCGAATAAATGATGAAAGAAACTTATAGGGAAAAAAATCAAGAAACATTTTTGGTTGTTCAAAATTTTCTACCTACAATAAAATTAATTAAAAAAAGATATTAAAGAATTAAAAAAGAAATGAATCAAAATACGTCCTTGAGAAAAGTAGATTGTATTTTTCAATACTTAATATTCATACAGTTTTGGACACATTTGATATCACCATGAACATTCACACAGGAACAGAAATTGACAGTCATTAAAATTGTTATCTGCTTATTGAGGTTCAAAGAATTGTTAATTTTGTATTTCCATATTTTGCTGAATTTTGGTTTTTTATTTCTGTGTGACTCTCAAATCATGTTGTTGGTGGTGATTTTTCGGGGTTCAAGAGTGTATTTTGGAAAGGAAAATTAATGTTACTTTTTTGGAATATGAATTTTTTTGAGAATTTTTTAAAACTTTATGATTCAAAAATTCACAAATTTCAAAAAATTCTCAAAAACTATTCATATTTAATAAAGTTTCACATAATTTTTCTGAAGATTTTGTTAATCATGGTCGAATTTAGTTAGAGCAAGCCTCTTAATCCAATTAATCACCACCAGCACCAAACATCAATCTTTTCATAAAACGAAACATATACCTAACTTTAAAAAGATACTAATTACAAAACTTAGCTGAAAATAAAAATATGAAAATAAAAATCAACGCTTCTTCTTTCTTGCCTAATTATAAATAGGTGAGTGCATCATTAATCTACTTAAAAATTGTGCTGCTCGTGTTGTGGGCGAGAGAGAAAATTTGAGTCCCATTAAATACCATATTTTAATTAAAGAAGAAAAAAAGAAATCTTTTTCACAATGTTTTTAAAAAAAAAAGTTGAGAACTTCAAGTCTCGATAAAATAAACAAAAAAAGTTACACATACAAGTACAGACACAAAAAATACACAACAAATGCTCTTCGTTATTTAAACTATGCAAAATAAATTTTTATGCTTTTCTCCAAGTAAATATCAAATAAACAAAAAAAAAAAGGAAAAAATAATGAAAAATATTTTAATAAGACTTAATCGAAACACAAGAGGTATTAATGAACTAAATGTTTGGGGATGAGTAAATTTGGAGATAGTTTTTGTCATGCTTTAGTAAAGGAAAATGGGTTAGGTTCTAGTAAAAAAACATTTCTGCCAAAGCTTCCAAAAATTCCCTTGGATTTAAAATTTTTCTTACAAATCAAATTGAAGATTGTTCTTCTTGATGCCTTTGATAGATCCCATGCGTAATAATGAAACATGATCAACGGTACTGCAATAATTTTATGTCGTGAGGATTGTGCAAATCCTTTTCATCTTAACACACTCTATAAAATGATTAAGAAATCGCTCTCTTGTGGGAATGGAACACACATCCTCACAAAAGAGGACTTACAGATATTCGATCTGTTGCCTAACCACTCGCGCAATAGAGGCCTAATTCTCTCACTGGGAGATTCGTCTTTAAATGGCTAGGGTGACAAGGTTTTCTTTGAAAAGTAGAGGACCTGAAAATAAAATAGAGTACAACCCACGTGTCTACCAATTTTATTCGTTTTCAAGACAATTAGAACAAAACGAAACCATTTTATTTTTGTAAAATGAAAAAAAAACATTGAGAACTGTCCTCTGAAAAAGGAAGTAGATATTTCTGGATTTCCCAGATTCCACTTTGCTCAGACACCATACATCCTTATGGTAGTAGACCAAATTTAAAAGTTTACTGCTTCATTTCTAAGCATGGAATTGATAAACAGTGGCAAATCAACAACATACATTGATAGTCTACAGACAAAGTTCTTCAAATACTCTAAATTCATATAAAAATCACAAAATGATCCCCCATTATCATCAGTTCAATTACATATTGCCCAAAAATAAAGCATGACCAAAAAACTATCATTAATAAAACGACTCATTCTCCCCCAATTCTACATTTTCATTCAGGAAATATGCGTGTAACTAAAGAATTTCCTTTATGTCACTAGATGGAAATACAAGAAACAAGTTTTATTTTCTATTATTTCAAAATAAGACAGCAAAAAGAAGAAATTTTTCCGCAATAAAACATTACGTAATAATATTTTTGTGCAATAATAAAAACTTATAGCAAAAAATGAATATAAAAAAAGAGAAAAAAAAATGAATGATGATAAAAATATTTTATGAGATGATATTAAATTTTACTACATAGGCTCCTTGCCACCATCACTCGTCATATGAATTGTTTTGTAAATCGAGGGAAAAATGCTGGAAGGAATATGGATGATGGGAAGGTCTGCAAAAATGTAAGAGACTTGGAGATACTAAATCGAATACTAAGGCTTGAAATAAAAGCCAACTAGAAAGCGTGTTGTAAGATTTTTGTGACATAAAGCCTCTCTAATGAGCCCAGGGTAAATTAAATTAACCCTCTCGAATTAAGCCACAGTCATTGATGAAGAAATAGGTATCAAATGTGCAGTTTGAAACACTCTTTAAACTAGCGACACAAGCCCTTTAAATTTAACACTAAACATCATCCATAGAATCTCCCAGCCTAATACAGTTAAAACACTCAGCAGAAAAATTTATATGAGTAGGAGATAGTGGTGGGAGTCTGACTCCCATCATCATATATTACAAGACGAAATAATGATATTATTATTATTACTATCAGCATGTGTTAACTCAAGCAAAAATAACAACAACAAATGATAAAAAAATTTCTACTCTAGTCAAGATTATGAAATTTATTTAATTTTATGTTATTTTAGTGAATAAATATATTTTCAGTGAAAAATGCAACCTCACAATTTACAAAATGGATTGATACTCACTCACTTACTT